CAAAATCTGTCTCTTCAGATTTGGCTATTTGGGTACCTAATAAAAAATTAAATATACCCTTAAAAAGGTAATTTATTCCTAAAATTCCATTTTTAACCTCATTCATTTTCATACTGTTTATTTTTAAACAAATTTTGCTTTTATTCTATTTGTATTTACTTCTATTGTCATGCTTCTTTAATTTATTCATTATAAAATCATTAGTTCTCTCCCTCTGCGTTCAGCAGAACATTTATTTTATAATTGTTAGAAGTTTATTTTATAATTGTTAGTTTTTTCGCGCTGATTGAATTATATTTTTAGATCTAGAGGAATGGTCTTATCTCAGCAGCATCACATTCATAAAACGGTTGCGTTCTGCTGAACGCACCCATTGTTATATGTACAATTTCAGTTTTACATTTCACATTTGAAAATGCACGCGCGTTTGGATGCATTTCCGGTTTTGCCTCATTCGCGCTATTGACCGTACTTGTATTATAGGTACTCTACGCTCCAGTATCTCCTTAAAGGTGCCGTATAAATGTACGTCACTATTAAAGATCGTCAACCCTGGGCAAATTTTTAGCGATATAAAAAGGGTCTCAATCAAGGGCCCGGAGGTAATTGAAGAACGCTGACATTATCGACAACTGATATAAATTTGCTATTATTAACATAAATATTTGGCTAATACATTTTCTAATTCACGATTTTTTATTACATAAATGCTCCATAAATAAATATGCATACTTGTAAAGCTATAATATTTTATATATTGTCGAAAAATTATAATTTTTTCTCTGCAGTTATGATCTCTGTTGTATAATCAAACTTTGACGATACACCGAAATTACAATTAAAAAAAAATCGAGTATAATAAATCATAAAATGAGTAAAATAGTATCAGTTTTTACTCTTAATTACTTCAAAATTAACAAGGACGTGAACTCCCGTAAGGATGTCGGTCTTTAATAGTATCTCATCAGTGGTTGTATTAACCGTAATTTCATGTTTTTTGGTAGATATAATAAACATTAAACACTGAATGCTTTATTGGACGGATTTTTTTTACACTTTATATCAAAGGGTTTTTTGGATCGCTGATTACGAATTCGAAATTATTTTATATTATATTTATTAATTTATATTTATATTATTATAGCTATAATTATCATTATAATTATAACGATTTTTTAAGCTTTGAACCACCATATTGGATTCACCATGTTTAAATTTTGACTTTAAATTCGTAATCACCGACCTAAAAACTTTTTGATACAAAGTGTCAAAAAAATTAGTCCAATAAAGCATACGGTGCTTACCTACTAAAGAACATGGAGAATGTATTAATATAATTTATTCTTGTAGTAAATATTTGACTATTTTGGAAAAAAAAATATATATGGGACATTCCACGTCAACTGAGACAGAGCGATGCCCAAAATATGTTACGACCAAAAAAATCGTTTCAGGGCTCAAAATGTTCGTAATCGCATGTACTTTCGAACGTCATGTGGCGCTTTGGGAA